CACACACACACACACACACACACACACACACACACACACACACACACACACACACACACACCTGTTGCTGTTCCAGTTGTGTCTTGTTGTGGCGGATGATGTTGCCTTTCTCCAGCAGCTGTCTTTGGTTCTTCTCGAACTCTTCCTTTCCCTGACACATCAACACACCGAAACACAGCAGTTACACCACTTGCGCTGGTTAATTTTAAACACATCTTCATGGATCAATAGATGCGTCATGAATATATTGCCTCTGTCTCCCTCAAGTGGCATTAAGTGGGACTGCAAAATCAGTCCCCAGTACTATTTTCAAAAGAAGGCACATGTATAGACTTGGTATAAAACAAAACAACTTCACAGGCATATATACTCATTCATCATGATAGGTGTGTCAGGGAGAGTGAGTTTGTCCCTCACAGACATGCTATGTAAAAAGTATGACTATATGAGTATATCACTGTTATTATGGCAGACATGAAGACTTTACAACATCATGCTATAATGTTAAATTTGTCAACAAAAACTATGACTTTCATACTGCCTGCGTGAGTAGTGTGGGTCAGGCATGTGAGCTGCACTGCTCTTCTATAGAAATGAGGTCTTGTGGATTTTCTCAGTGTACTGCACACAGTTCAAGGCAAAAATTATCTTTCACCACAGTTTCAGTGTCTATCTGTCAAATATGTCACAAACATAAATAACTTGCAACACTTTCTGCACCTGTTTCAAAGCACTCTTGCATTGCTGTTGACCAAATACATTGAACCTGCAGCTTTAAAACAAAAACTATTTTTAGTTCAAAAACTAGAATTACAACACTGGGGTTGTTTGCCTCCGCTAACCAGTGCAGGTTTTGTGTAGATAGTATATAAGACTATCAGATTCTAATCAGGTCATTCATGGACAAAGCGAATTCTGCTGGATGTAATGAAATTCCCTACCTTTGTCCTTTGGCTACCAAAATCAAATCAGTTAATCCTTGAGTCAGAGTGAAAGTTTGTACCAAACTTTTCCTAAAGGCGTTCCTGAGATATCAAGTTCATGAGAATGGAATGGACGGACAACCCAAAAACATAATGTTACATTACATTAGATTACATATCATTTAGCTGACGCTTTTATCTAAAGTTACTTACAATAAGTGCATTCAAACATGAGAATTCAAACCTAGAAAAGCAAGAATCAAATATATATAATATATATTTAATAATATATAATTTATAATAACTGGATAAATGCATGGGTAAATGTGAGTGCTTAAAAATTCATATAACCAATGGAAGACTAAAATGTAATTATTGAGAATTCAGGAAAACATTTCTGTTTATTACTAGGATGTGATTGCAACTAAATCAATGTCAGCTACCAGAATTCTCATAAATACTGTCTGTATTCAATACAAAGTTCAGCATTCTGTCTCATATAACCACCATGTGTAGATTTGGGTTCACAGTTTGTGTCAGACTTCCTCACATGTGCAGAGTATCATTCAACAGAGACAATAAACTTTAATCATAATGGTAACCACAACAACAAAGTTTCAACTTCACTGTGTCAGCCAACGTCCTCATATGTTGCTGTGTGTGTGTGTGTGTGTGTGTGTGTGTGTGTGTGTGTGTGTACCTGTAGATGCACATAGTCGTAATCCTCCATCCACCCTTCCTCTGTGGTCTCATATGGCCTGTTCACACCTTCCTCTTCCACTCCAGCTGTAAACTTTGGTGGTGAGGGGAGGGGTCGTGACTGAATGTTCATCTTCTCCCCTCCCTGATAGCTCCCACTACCTGATCCTGTCAGGTGACTGCTGATCTTCCCTGGAATTGGAGGAAGTGGCAGCTGCTGCTGCCGGTTGGTCCGTTTGAAGAGAAGAGAAGCATTACCGTGGAGAAAGGAGGCAAGCTGCTTGGCATCGTCTGGGATCCCCCGTGCTGTCATGATTATTTGATCTAAATCATCCCCTCCCGGTGGCGGTGCTGTGAGTGCCTTGTGTGACCAGGAAATAGCATCTAAGCTCTGACTGTGTTGAACCAAACTCTGGAAGACCTCCTCCATCTTCCCCACCTGTCGGCCCAGTTTAGTCTGCAGAGAGCGGTCTGTGGCCTGGGATGCATTTGCCACAGCCCCCCTGGCAAATTCTAAGAAATCTCGGACACTGGCACGCACCCGGTCTGCGGCCTGATGAATAGCTGAAAGGTTCCCTTCCAGGTGAGCAGGGCTTCTCCAGTTACCTGTGATGAAGGACATCATGAGGGAAACACTGGACTCAACGGCTTGCTGTAGACGAGACAGACGCTCCATGGCCTGCTCTAGGTCCAAGATGAGGGGTTTCCCTGAAATGCAGCCAGGAGCAGGAACTGAAGAGGAAGACAAGGTGTCATGGACAGAGACCATGTCTAAGGATGAAGCAGAGTGATTGCTCCGTGTACTTCCAGTACTCGAGGCAGAAAGCCGCTTGAAGGACATGTTTAGTTCCTCACTGGTGGACTGGGCATCACGCACAACCTGGAAAACAGATATCAGCCATTTCCTGCCTTAGAGCTGAGGTAGAAGTGTTTATTTAATCAACAAAAACTAGGATGTAAAATATGAAGACAAAACGTGAATAAAAATGATAACAAATTTCATAAACAAATAGAAACCAAATGATAATATGGAAGAACGGATACATTAACATAACATTTCAAAGTCTTGTTAAGTTATGGCTAATTGGAGCTGAAATGACTGAAAACCTATTTCAAAGCAAATTAAATTCTTAAAAACCATAAATACACCCGAGTAATTTCAGTAAATCTAAGGGAGTACAGCGACAGAGACTAAGGTTCAGAGGACACTGTTGTAAAATCAAAAACAGGCTAACAGTACATTTCTGCTAACATTTTTCTCAAAATGTGGGCCTGCCCCTTTATCTCTACCTACCTGTGGTGGGAAGTCATAGACATAGTGATCAACCTTCTCTCCTCCTCTTTCCTCTCTTTCCCTGGGGAAGTCATAGACATCCTGTGTGGGCTGAACTTCGGTCCGCAGGCTGGCTGGGATGTCATAGATCTCCTGGGGGACATGGCTCACCCTGCTTTTATCACTGTGATAATGCTTTGCAGTCAGAACGGGGGGCGGGACATCATACACATCCTCTGGAATGGGTGGCTCTTTGTCATTGTCATTCAGGCTTTTGTGCAGGTACTGGCTAGGAGGGACAGGGACTTGGGGTTTGAGTTTGGCAAAGTGTGGAGGAACATCGTAGGTCTCCTCTCTGATAGGCTGAGTATCAGGGACATCTTTACTGACAGATGGGGGGAAGTCATAGACCTAAAGAGAAAGTGGGGCAGAAATATTGTGCATACGTTACATTTTTGATGTTTTTATTTATTGAACAATACATTTCTTTAAAGCACAGTCACTCACTTATTCTTTAATATGAATGGTTTTAGTTGCTAGGACTTCGCAGACAGATCAATCTCGCATCTCATCATGTCTGGAATAATTTCAGGTTATTGATCACTGACAACTGTGTCTTTGCTTGTATTTACATCCAATCAGTTGTAATCACTATATTTGAATAATTCTGTTACACAGTCTGCATTCATATAATGATATATGGTACATGTAATGGAAGTTTTCTGGAAGCTGGTGAAAGGAGAACTCAGACAGCAGCTGATGCCTTATGCAGAGGAGACCAGAAGGTGCAACAATACAAATGCTAACAAAGCAACATGAGCAATTGTCACCCCCAAGTCTCAAGATGTCTTCCATAGCATCCCCATATATCTTGCTCTACTTGTGTCACCCATTCTAACAGCACATCAATGAATGGCTAAATTTGCTGTCACTCTCTATGTTACATGTAGGTGTTTGCATCCTGTTGGATACTGGTATAATACGCAAAAGAGTTGAAGTTGGTGCCTCTCTGTCTGGGGCATCTGAGTTAGATATAAAAGAAGCTAACATAATACGGTACATAGTGGCATATACAGTAATGTGTGAGGATATAAATTCCTCAACAGTACACACTGGTTGATTCAAAAAAATGACAACGTTATTTTCACTATCTATATTTATACATATATATGAAATTATATTGCATCAGAAGACACATTATGAGCTCTATGAACCCCTTCAATCCGGTTTCAGACCCCAGCACAGAGACAGCCCTCATCAAAATTACCAATGGCATCCTGATCGCTGCCGACTCCGAACACATCATTATCCTCATCCTCCTTGGCCTCTCTGCTGCCTTCGACACAGTCTCCCACACCCTCTTCCTCAACTACCTATCCAAACACCTCGGCCTTACTGGATAAGCTCTCACCTGATTTCAATCATACCTCTCCAACAGGAAACAGTTCATCACCATCAAAGTAGCTCTAGCTCCAAACAAGGTGTGCAGCAAGGCTCAGTGCTGGGTTCCCTCCTTTTACCATCTACATGATCCCTCTTGGTCATATCATCTGTCACCCAGCTCTATTTAAGCACTCATCCATTCGCTCAGCTCCACCCCAGTCACTATTGCCTGCATGACATTAAAATCTGGATGACATATAACCTTCTCAAACTGAACAGTAATAAGACTGTGCTACTGGCTACATTGTGGTCCCAAGGCTCTGCTCCGGAAGGTTGGAGATCTCCTCAACATCAGCGGCTACTCCATCTTCCCATCCCCCAAGGTCCTCAACCTGGATGTCATTCTTGACTCGAACCCTCTCCTTCCTATCCCACATCAAATCTGTTACCAAATCCACTTTCTTTCATCTCAAAAACATCTCCAGACTCCGGCCTTCACTCCCTGACTCCGTGGCAGAAACCCTCACTCATGCCTTCATCACCTCCCGCCTGGACTACTGTAATGGATTCCTGTCCAGTGTACCTGACAACATTCTGAAATGACTCTGTACAGAACTCCACTGCCAGGGTTCTCACCCACACTATGACCACAATTAATTTGTTTTCCTGGGGCCAGAGCATGTTTGAACCATTTTACTTCTATTGATCTTCCTAACCGAAACTTGGCTACAAGACGGAGAATATGTAGGTTTAAATGAAGCGACGCCCCCAACCCACTCTAATACTCACATTCCTCGGAACACAGGCAGAGGTGGAGGGGTTGCAGCAATCTTTAAATCTGATCTATCTATCAACCCCCGACCAAAAGAGAGTTATAACTCTTTTGAAAATCTTAGAACCAGCCTCATCCACCCAAGCCTGACGTCACATAAACCAATTAATATAGTCATCATATATCGTCCACCCGCCCCTTACTGTGAATTCCTATCTGAATTCTCTGAATTTTTATCAGAATTAGTTCTTAAAACAGATCAGATCATTATAGCCGGTGATTTGAATATTCATGTAGATGTTGCCAATGACAGCCTTAGTTCAGCATTTAAATCAATAATAGACTCAATTGGTTTCACTCAASATGTGAATCAACCGACCCACTGCCTGAATCACACTCTTGATCTTGTCCTGACATATGGCATTGACATAGAAAATATAACAATATTCCAACAGAACCCGCTTCTGTCTGACCATTTTTTACTTAAATTTGAATTCAGAATTGTTAATTACGTCAATTCTGGACGGAAATTCTATTATAGTCGATGTTTATCCGACAAAACTGTTCACAAATTTAAAGAACTGCTCCCCTCCTCACTTCCCTCTCAGCCATGTGTCAGTACAATACAAGAAGATTATCCAAACCTTACTCCCACACTAGTTGATAACTTTGTAAATAGTACTGCAGCCTCACTAAAAACAGCACTTGAAGCTGTCGCCCCATTAAAAAAGAAGAAAGTAAGTCAGAGGAGATTAGCTCC